CATACTGTAGCACAAACACTATGATAACAGTCTGTCAACATTTTCATGAGCATCTCACTGACACCAGGAGCAGATCCATGCATTACTGTAATTGCAGCACAAGAAGCCACGTGGAAATCTGCACACAGGAATGTTTCCACTGCTACTTCTACTCATGCTGCAAGGCCATTGGACAAATGACAAAAATACAAGGGGAAAGACATATTCAGAAGCCAGAGAAATCAGAAATAGAAAATAATTCCACGAAGGGAGGAAAGGATAGCCTAGGATCTGAAAAGGATGCAGAACACAAAAAGTTTGTCTCCTAATATATCAAGGTTAATTCATCATTGTTCTGAGTAAAATGCAAAGGAAAATTATCCCTGAGAAATGGAGTAGTGCTAAAAAAAAAAAATGAGGAAAGAGTCCCAGTTATAAGCACAAACTGAAATAATTCTTCCTTTTAAAATAATCTCCTAAGAAGACTGAGTAAATTGCAACAGAGGCCACTAAAGCCATTCCATTTGAACCTGCTATGAAGTGCACGAGCTCCACATCCACACACTGCAATGTCAATTCCTACTTTCTGCTTTGAACTGGAGTTCAAAGTCTTTCTTCCATGTTAACCCAGACACATTTGAAATGGCTTGACATGGATATTATTTTAACTTATCACTCATTGCTCCACACAGGGCAATGTACAAACATCAGCATGCAGTGACCTACAAAGCACATGCATATACAGCAAAGATTTATTGGATTTAGTGATTTAAATACTGTTACTTTCCAATAGATAATTCCTATTCAGAAGACAGAACCTGCTAAAAATCAAGGGGGTTATTAATAATAGACAGAATGACAAGGAGCTGCAAAGGGGAGGGATCAGATGGGTGTTAGAAAAAGGTTCTTCCCCAGGGCAGCAGGTGCATCCCCAAGCTGACAGAGCTCAAGGGACATCTTGACAGCTCAAGGGACTGCTCTCACACACTGGGTTTAGATTTCGAGTAGGGATTGGATTTAGTGAACCTTGGGGGTTCCTTTCCAATTCAGGATATTCTATGATCCCATCATTCAAATTTCCCCTCAAAGATAAATAATGCTTACACATTTCAACTTAAAGCAGATGTGAATCTTATTGACAAGTCAGTCAGTTTTGGTAACATTTTCATAGCTATCCATGCAGATTCTCTGGGATAGGTGTGGAGCTGTGCAACATAAGACAGGAAGAACAAATCTTCCTGATCTACAGGCTATGCACTAAAAACTGAGAGCCATCATCTGCCTGAGAGCCACAAAATACATATTGCCAACCTCAGCAAACCACAGAGAAGTGATTTCAGAAGAGCTGAATAGCAACAGCTCCGAGTTGAGGATGTCAATATGCTGTGCTGCAGGACGAACACTCAGAAAAGGCTAACAGTCCTTTCAGGCTTGCTTCCTCCCACTTCTGAAGCTGAGCTTTCCTTCCATCCCTGCACAGTTGCAAATTCATGCTGTACCACATTCAAATAAACCACACCTGAATTGCATAAAGAGTAACAAGCTGGCTGTAAAGGTGTCGTTCTGAGATAAACAATAGCATCAATGCATTTACTCTGGGTGCAAGAGTGCAGTCAGGACTTTCTAACCAACACACAAATCACCACGCAGAAAGCTATCCTCTACCCAAATGAACAGCTTTGAAATACATCACTTCGAAGCTACATCGTTTTCAGTAGCTGCTGTAGAACTAACTGCAAACAGTAACGACGTAGTTTCTCCATAACAGACCATTTGCAGAGCTCCTGGTTCCACTCAGCACCCTTACACAGCGCTCGTAAACATGTTCCAGTACTGAAAGTCAGTAAAATAATATCCACTAAACACACACACAAATAGGTCTTTAGCCTATCAGGTACAAATCTGCCACAGTTCCAGGAGGTCAATACGAGGAAGCAACCACAAGCTGTCAAACCGATAGTGTAAGAATCTAAGTTTCACTCATTTACACTTAAACCTGCTTTCCTAGTTTTGTCAGGGACAAAAGAAGCGATCTGGATATACAAGAACGCCCTAAGTGTAAAAATAAACAAACGAATAAGCAAACAAATCCACACGCGCCAGGGCCTCCCTAGCACAGCGCTCGCACAGCTCCACGCGTACCGCAGGGTCCCGCTGCCCACCCCGCCGGCTCGGCACGCCGTTCGCACCGCGCAGCCCCGCGCCAGCACAGCCGAGCCGCCGCCGGGGCCGAGCCGCACCTCACAGCGGAGCGGTGGCGGCGCCGAGGCCGTGCGGCTGAGGCCGAGGAGCTCTCGGCGGCTGCCGACAGGGCCCCACGTATGGGGTGAGCGCTCCCTGGCTAGCTGCAGGCCGTGGGGAGAGCTGGCAAGTCGCTCTCGGCCCCGCGGTCCCCCGGTTCTCCTCCACGGAGATCGGCAGCGCCCGCCCGCGCTCCCCTGGCGCACCGGCAGGGCTGAACGCCGTCAGCCCCACACGGGAGCGCTCGGCGCCGGCCAAGGGCGCTCCTCCCCGCGGTGCTCCGCGCTCTCACCGCCGCAGCCCGGGCTCCGCTCACCCCGCGTCCCGGCCGCCGCTTGCCTCGCGCTTGCTCTCCCCCTGGCGCACGCAGCCTCCCCAGCGCCGCCGACGCAGCCAACATGGCTGATGGGAGAGTCCGCGCCACGTCAAGGGGCAGAGAGCAGCGGGCCGGGGCTGGGGGCGGGCTGAGCGCCGCGGCTCCACGCCTTTCCCCGCTGCGAGCGAAGCTCGGCGTGCCCGGCCTGACTCTTCCCTTAGCAGCGGGCAGCGATGTACCTGGCGTGAGACAGCCCGTACGACCGCTCTCTGCCTTACCAGAGCAGGGACTCGTGTTTCCTTGTCCGCTTTTTGCCTTTCGACTTTGAGCTTTCTTCTAAAAAGCTCGATCTTCGTCCCAGCGGTGTTTGGGAAATGATGGGCTGCGGCCACTAGAGGGAGCTTCGCCTCCTCGTGTTTACGTGTTTTCTCAGGCTTCTAGGGATAAAAAATAGATTGATAGCATATTTGTGGTGGCTTTCAGCTTGAGACAATATTTTATCTCACATTTAGAAATACTTTAACGTACAATGCGTGTTTATTTAATATCTTCAGAGAAATTTTAACGTAGCCCTGAATGTACAATTCAGGTTTTGTTGGTTTTTTTTTTCTTTGGTTGTTTTTCTGGGTTCTATACCATTAGCATCTCCAGTATTGTTTGCCAGCTTTCCTTAGCCTACAAACATGAGCAAGTAAACAAAAGCACATCTTAAAGGGAGGATTTTAATTTTCACTGCCCTTGAATCCCACTGTCAGCTGTGGGAATATTCAGCTGCAGAGTGTCAAGGACATGGAACCTGCTCCGTAAAAAAATGAAATGAAAACCTTTAGGTGAAATTCAAACAGATGCACAGAAAGTAATTCAGTGTTGCATTTCAGAAGTACTCAAATACTCTTCTAATGAGTTGTTAGCACAGTTAAATTTCATTACATAATGACAATTCAGTGTTCTAAGCTTCAAGAAAAGTCTTGCAGATACTACAAGGGTGCAAACCAAGAGAAGCAAACAGAGGCAATAACACTAACACTGTACAGAAGATCAGGTGATAACACTGTATGTAACATACTAAGAGAAAATGTGCCATTGTCTTCCATTAGGTTGTACTAATAGTATTTTTCTTAATAAATAATTTTCAGTTGATGTCTCGGACTTTATTAGGCAGCAGTGCCTGCCCACAGGTAGCAGCTTACCTTTTCTTTGGAAAAGTACTCTTCTGCAATGGCTACGCAGCTGAGAAGTGGGCTTGATACTCTGTTCCAGATTCTTTTTCCTCTTCTTCCATTGAATTACACTGACCAGCTGTTGCACTGGCATCATTGGTAAAAATCTGTGACAACTTTGCTGGAAGACTACCTGCAATAATTTTTAAAAATTACTTGACTTAAACTGTATAAATCAAAAGTTTATACAGAAAAACATGTCCCAGTAGAGAAAATATATTTTATTTCTGGAATCTCTTTCCATTCATAGTTCTTGACTCAGTGACAAATAGAAAAAAAAAATAACGTCTGTATATTACCAAAGTTTTAGAAGAGAACTTTTCACGGTTTTACTCACCAGCATTTCTGCCTTGTCTGTTAGTCAGCCTTCCCAGAGGCATCACTGTGGCTTTGGATTAGCAGGACTTATTTCAAACAATGGCTGCAGCTGTCTCACTCAACCAGGATGTGAGATCCGGACTCCCTGTTACACGTAGGTGGATTTGGAAACACCTTAATGCAAACAAAAGTCAGCAGAGAGGAGGAGTTAGGGCTGGTGTTTTTTTGGAGCTGCTAAAATACAGTCTTACGAAAAATAAAGAACAAAACTGAGAACAATTTAGAGTTACACTGTTCTGCTGTATGGGCTGCATTTAGCATACTGATTTAGCACGCTGTTCAGAAAGAACTACTAAGAAATAGTAATATACAGGAGTTTGGTAAGAGACAATTTACATGATTTCAACAATTACAGCATCGTCCCTCTGCTTTTTATCTGAGAAGTAACCCAGCTCACTGCTACTGCTGCTTTGATTTTGATTTGGGATCCAGTCCATTACTATTTAGATAAACCCGTACAGAAACAAAATGAAATCTCAGCCAAGCTCTTCCAGGTCTACACCTGGATTTACAGCACTTTAGACAATTAATTTTCACCACAGATCTCTGGGATCCAAGGAAGGGATAAGCATTATTACTGCTCATCCTCAGAAAGAATAGGCAGTGTTATCAATGAGTGAGTTAAGAACCACTTGCAAAAACTAAGGTACGTGAGAATGATGTAGGGCCTAAATGTGGTCATCAGGGGTCCCGTCCAGCTCAGGAACGGGCTTATCGCTTTGGGCAGTTCCCCGGCAACACGGCCACCCCCCTCCTTCCTCTCCGCCCTGCGGAACAGCCCACGGCGCTCGTAAGGGCCGCAACGCCTGGGCACGGCGGCGGCGTTCCGCCTGCGCGAGGCCGCGTCTCTCGCGAGAGCAGCCGGGCTGGCGGCTGCGGCCGGCGGGGTGATGGAGTCGGCCGTGGAGGAGCTGATGCCGCGGCTGCTGCCCGTTGGGGACTGCGACCTGCCCGACGACTTCGACCCCACCGTGCCGCCCCGGACGCCGCAGGAGTACCTGAGGCGCGTTCAGTGAGTGGCGGGCCGGGGGTTGGCGGCGGGCCGGTAGGGCTGCGTCGGGGCGGCGCGTTTCCCGCTGCGTGTGCCCGAGGGGCCCGTTATTCCCCGGCGAGCCCAGCGCTGAAGCTCCGTTCGAGGAAGACGGCGGTCCGGTTTTGGGCTCCGTGTAGCAGTAGTGTCCCAGGATGTCGCTATGGGATGCGCAGCCTCGCTTCAAGGCAACTTAGGAGCATACAAGCTTCAAGGGCGCCAGTGCACTTGCGTATGAAGAGGGAATACTTGGTAATTCTGAAGTCAGGCCTTCTGTGAGAATTGCCTGCAGTCAGTTGGTTTTTTTTTTTGCATAAGTGAAGATTTCCATAGATGCCGTATTCAGCCTATAACCGTCCACTGCAATACAGCAGTTTGATTTTGTTTTGTAGGATTGAAGCAGCGCGATGCCCAGATGTGGTCGTGGCACAAATAGACCCCAAGAAGCTAAGAAAGAAGCAGACGGTAAACATTGCAGTAAGTCTGGGCTGCTTTATGCCTTTTGCATTAAGAGACAAGCAGCTGGAAAGATGGGGGAGTCGTGAGCATAACTAAAACTTGCTGGATCTTAAAGCGCTTAATGAAATAAATGAAACTTCAGGGTTTGAAGAAATGCCTGTTGAACTTCTGGGCAATAAGCAGTCTTTGTAGCTGATCAGTTTAAATCAGTCATACCCCTTCTAACTGACACACAGCAGACTTTTTCTACCCGAAGGAATCAAATGCTGAGCTAAATTTTACAAGTCTATCATAAAACCTGCATAAGCTTTAGAAGAAAGTAATATCTGTATCTAGATTCAAAAATATATCTTGTATAAGGCAGTAAGAGCAGTAAGTACAGCTAATGTAAGATGAAATGCTAGCTCCATTTCTTCACTTTCTGATGGAACCTCTTATTGGGATTTCCCCTTACAAGTAGATTTTTCTATTGTCATATTTCTTTTTTTTTTTTTAATCTACTTCCAAATATTTCAAATGCCCAATTTTGTCTTTCTTCCACAAAAACTGTATAATCTGCCTGTTAGACTGCTATGCTAAAGCTTCTACTATTGACGTGACCACGTACCTTGTGGCTGTTCTATTCATTTGTCTCCCTTCTTCATAATGGCACTCTTAAACATTTGTAGAAAGATTTTTCTCTACTGTAATTCTTTCATGCTAATCTCTGAAGAGGTTATATCTACTTAATTGTCAGTTAACCTCAAAGATTTTTTTTTTTTACTTACTGTCTTCCCCAACTTACTATCTGAGCAAGAAGAACTCCTACTATTAATAGCACCTGTCCAAGATAAGGAAAGAGCACTCTCCTTTATTAACAGGGCAGTTAAGGTGCTAAAAAGATAACGTTAAAAGATTCTTCAACAGTACATTCTATATATTTAATTTTCCTTCTTTGCATATATGCACCATCAAGCAGGAGAAATTTTGTCTAGACCAACTTAAATCAGTTGTCAGGAAATTACCTTTTTTAAAGTGAGTATTTCTATTTTTATCTGCTGGTAGTTATTTACTAATTCTCTTGTTCTTTAAGGATCATTTTTATAAAGCTCTTTATACATTATAATTATTACCAGTGTTTCCTTAGATTTCTGGATGTCAGCCTGCTCCAGAAGGATACTCTCCAACACTCAAGTGGCAGCAGCAGCAAGTGGCCAATTTCTCATCTGTTCGTCAGGTAGAAAATTGTGTGATGGAGAATGGGGGGCCTTTTAACTTGCACATCTGTGCTTTAGGGGGGACAAACTTATGTCTTTCCTACCATAAAGTCATAACATTTTGATCAGATGTTGCTAGTTAACTGTTTTAATTTTTTAAAAATAAAATAAAATAAAATGGGAATATACTGTGAGGCTTTTAAACTTCTGATGAAACTCCTTCCTGAGAGTCATGTTAAATAAAAATAAAGCAAAAATATCTGGCAATATTTGCACTGAATGATACGGAGTGCTTGAGGAAGGACAAAAATCACTGTGATGTTACACAGTGACACTAAAACCAACAGTGTTCTACATTGTTCTGTGGAACTATAGAACAAGTGGATTCCTATCCACCATGAGATTCATATATATAAAACACAGTTCATTTAGGGTCCTATGGGCATCAGTGGGAGCCATTATGGTCAGAAATACTGATTTGCTAAAATGGATTTGTGCGGATGCAGTGTTAGCATAGACTTTCCTACCATGTTTGTACCTTGCTTTTACAGAAAAGAAATGGAGAGCTGAACAGTGTCTCTCTGTGCACTATTCAAACAGAGTGTATATGAAGATATTTTACAGCTCCAGTACTGCTGAAGGCATGTCTATAATGTATTGATATTGCATTGTAAAAATACCAGAATACACTGCAGTATAATCAATTGCACTGAAGCTGCTGTGGCCTTGAGCCTCGTGTGAGCTCATTTATTGTATTTTTTGAGGAAGATAAAGCAGCGAAGGTGGAGGGAAAAGAGCATCAAAAGTCATTTGTCAATACATTACGCATCAGCTAATGTTCATTGCAGCATTTTTTTTAGTGGCTACTTTTACTGTTAGAGTAAAAATTGAGTGAGGGAAAAATATTTCCATTACAAAAGCTTATACTTCCAATAGGAAATTGTCATGGAGATCAATTTGTCTTACATGGCATCCCTGTCAGAAGAAATGTTCTAGGAAAGTAAGCCTGCCGTCTTTCACAATTCTGTAGGCACTGACTCAGAGCACTGTTGGAAGCATGGTATTGGTCTTACGTTTGCTTTTTTGACTAACCCAGTTGTTTTTTGTTGTTACAGCAAGCATAAAAAAGGATTTTAAGACTAGTAAAACTTACTACTTAAACTTGAAGCTTTATGCAGTAGACTTTAAAATTCCTTTGGCTTTAATATTATTTCCAAAAACCCAGTATAAGTACCAGTTATATTTATACCAAGAGGCTAGAGGAATATGTACTCAGGAATGTTTTTACTGATTTCAGAAGTTCCTTTTTAATGAAGATTATGGCTAGGATCTGATAAGTGTAAAGTTAGAACTGATTTGGCTTTAATTATTCAGAGCCTGAACAAGCACAGACATCACTGGCGGTCACAGGATTTGGACAGCAATGTTAACATGGTGAGTAGAATTCATAACAGTTATGTGTTTTTCCTAGTCATTAAATTTGTGGTTAATCTTGCTTTACAGTGTAATTCAACAACTGGAGAGTATTATCATGTCTGTTCTTTGTTGTCTTCCAGATAGCTATATTTCACTGTTTGCTTTTATTTTTATTTACTTCAGCCCAAATTAGAGGATGAAGAAGGTTGGAAGAAGTTCTGCCTGGGTGAAAGAGTGTACTCAGAAATAGATGCAGAATCTGATAATGAACATCTAGGAATTGATTACATAAAGGTGAGTATAAGAGGACTAATTTTCAACTGTTATTTTCACAAACAGCTACCAGAAACAATGCTACTGTTTATTACCACGTTGTGCTAAACATAAAGCAAGCTGTCTGGTGAGCCCAGTAAGACCCATTTCTCTTCCCTTCTAGGTTGAAACTGAGTGAAACAGAGAACAAGTCTGTTAGTTCAGTCAAAAAATTGGGGAAGTTCCCCTGTCTGCTCCCAGCTAGAACACACTAATTCACTGCTAGAACAGAATGGAAAGTTTTATCCATAGTCTGGTTTAGTGTTTTGTGAAGGTGCTTCCTGTCCTTGTACACCCTACTCTAAAAATGCCCTTCACTGCAGCTTTAAAAAAAAAAAAAAGCACACCCTTGTTTTACAAGTAACAGCAAAGGCAATGCTATTTGATACCAAATTTGGCTAGACCTTATCTTGAAGTTACTTGAATACTGTTTTGTTGTCTTGTTTTTCCAATAGATGTCAAAGCTCAGAACAGAATTCAAATTTCTGATTGTATTACAAATGTTCTGATCAAATGTTAGTAAGTTCTAACTTAGAAAAAAAGGTGTTTGTGATGTTTCTGCATTTTCCAACTTGACTTTTTTCAGGTTGGCTTTCCTCCTTTGCTAAGTATTGTAAGCAGAATGAATCAGGTAAGCCTACATCTTAAGCCTACCTCTTAGGACAGCGTAGTGATACTGCTCAAGTCAGTACTTCCTATGTTCCATCAGTTGCATAAATCTTACCTATTTTTCTGTGCTAAGGTGATTGTTTATTCCAACTGCTATTCAATGTACACTTACAAGGAAAAAGTATTATCTCATCTTTAACTACAGTTATACCAGCAAATGTTTACAGTAACTAAACGTAAGCATATTTTCTCCTCATCATTTCTTAATAGAACATTCTAATGTTTGAGTGCCTCTTTTAGGGGCTTACAGTAATTTATCACCTTTTGTCTTTTAAGTGCAGTTCTTCAACTTGATTGTAAACTCTTAAATGCATTGCAATACTAGAAGAACAATGTTTACTACATTTCTCACTGGTCATTCTTATATAGAAATAGTATGATGCTTTTTTTGTTATCTATCTGTAACATCTTGTTAACACAGAACGTTGCTTTATATAAAGCTCTTAGTTTTTTAAAAAGCTTTTTTTTCCATGATGCTTTAACATGTACTTTACCCTTACATACGATCTCAACCTGAACTAAATGCCATATAGAATTGCAGTTGAGTGGAAACTTTATTATGTCTATATTTAAAGACAAAAATCACATTTGCTTTTTACGTAACATAATGCTTTGGGTAGGACAGCAAAACAAAACTTTGCAGATATGGCATTGTGTCTTTATGTTTCTCTTTTGAAGGCCACAGTAACCAGTGTCTTAGAATACCTGATCAGCTGGTTTGGAGAGAAAAAATTTACTCCAGAACTGGTAATTTTTTTCTAACTACTCGCATGTGAGCAGCTGTTTTCTATGAAATTGTTTTAGTTTCCAACTAGTTCTCTAGATATGTGTACTGTATTCAGTTGTCCTCAAAACTCAACTGAGTAGATGCTAGATTGAACATACACAGAACTTTTTGAAAGGGTAATTACAAAAGAGCAGACAGAGATCTTTCAGGTACTGCTAAAACTCCTCCATTTCATTTGCTCTCCACAATAACTTAATCAGCAAGGTCGAAGGGTGCTGGGGAGAAAAGAGGGCCAGAGTACAGAAGCTTTGAAGTCAGTGAGCTGCAGGCTGTATTTGCTAACATGTCTGCTTTAGTTTGGAGATGGTATTCTGCTAAAAGAGATCATTTAATCTTTTCATGTGCAGCACTATGTTATCTATGTTAATGTGGAAACAGATCCAATCTGATATAAAATTGAGAGTGATGGAGTACATTAGCATGAAGTTTGGCCACAACTAGATTAACTAGCTATATACCACAAAATAAATGAGTAATGAAAACTTCCACAATACTAAATACAGCTTCTTGATTCTTTGAGTTGCGTAAAGGCCTTTTCTGTTCTGAGCTTTTCTTAGTGACCAATATGCTGCAGAGCATGTGCTCATTCTCAGTTTAATCCTATCATGAAAGGCACTAGGCACTGGAATTAATTTAATAAATTAGACTGGTAGCAAAGTGATGTTTATAATATTGTAAGTGATGTTTATAATATTGAATAATGTTCAGTAAGTAAAAAGCAGAGGACATGTTTTTGCAGTGGGGTAAATCCTAAGGCTGATGTAACAGCATTACTTCCACAAAGATCTGACTTAATATATTCATTCTTTAGAATGGTTTTCCATGTTTTATGAAGTTAACAAATAATAGCTATGTAATTATTGCTCAAATAGTGCTTCCCTTAGATTAATAGAAGAAACTGTTCAAAAAAAAAAAAAAAAGAAAAAAAAAAGCAAGCAGGCAATCCAGGAGCATGCTCACAAGAAGCTTATTTACAGGCATAAAATTCTACTGTGCAGTCTCTAATCTGGCCCTTCAAACTTTTCCATTCTGTCAATGGCACTTAAATGAAATTTTGCTTTGAGACCTGTGCCCAAGGCCTACTACATATAACATGTTTTTCTTTTTTCAAAGAAGTGCCCATAATTAAAAGCTCACTATTTCAATCCACACAGGGTAGATGGTTTTATGCACTGTTGGCATGCCTTGAAAAACCTTTGCTACCTGAAGCTCACTCCCTTATTCGACAGTTGGCAAGGCGGTGCTCAGAAGTGAGAGTACTAGAGGTAAGATTTAATTTAATGTTGTGCAAAGGACTGTTTCAACTTCATAAATTATCAAGAGAATGATTTCTCAGCTCTTAAATTCTTGATAAGTTATTTTTCACATTTGAAGTCTGCTGCAGAATGAGAGGAAGGCTGCAACATATAACATGGCAGGTAACCTTTTTCTAGTGGATATGGTTAACAGAAGAACTGTTCTGGTATTTGTTTCTCTTTCAGGAGAACAAGAACGAAGAGCAAGTTTCAGCTCTGAATCTCTTAATCTGCTTAGTTAGCAGGTAATGCAAACCACAAATATAAAATAGCAGAGCATGTCCAGAATAAGTGTGATTATCCTTATGCTAACATAGATTCCTTTAAAGTGAAAGTCAATCCAAGTAGTCTGGATGTATGTAGCAGACATACTTAGTTACCAGGACTTAAGACAAACCTAAGGCTAAAACAAAGAAAACATATTAGTTTTCTTTGGTGAGCCCCCTCAAACATGAGGGGGCTCACCAAATATATGGTGTCATATTATTATATATGTCATATATTTGGTGTCATAATGTCATATTCTATAAATATGATAGAAATACTAAATTAAACCTGGAAAGCAAATGGTCTAACAACTCAGAGCAAAGTAAGGAGTGTGTTGCATTAGAGTTTTCTTACTGTATTCCACTTCTCTCCCCTAGGTACTTTGATCAACGCGATTTAGCTGATGAACCCTCCTAGACTTCTCTGAGAAAACCATTTTCTGTTGCAAAGCACAGAGTAGTACAAATAGTACAAACAGTGTACAGGTCTGAAGCGTGCAGTGTCTTTCTGTCAAGTACAATACAACTTCTTCAGAGCACCCTCAACATAATAATACATTTGGGACAGCTATGAATAACTGAAGCTGATCTTTAGCATGAAGGTACTGCTCTCCAGTATCCTCATCGTAAAATGGTCCATGAATTATCTGTCATTGTCTCTCAAGCAATATCTTAGTATAATAGATTCTTCATTACAAATTTTTGCCATCTGAGTAATCCTGTGGATGCTGTCATTAGGTTCCGAGTTTAAAGAGATGTCACAGATGACTGTTCTTTATCTAATACACAACCCTTGAGGTCTTTTTTAATAAAACTAAAATGTTCTTTAAGCTGTTCTTAAACATTATGGCTTTTCTCATTCTTCATAGTACTTAATGACTGCCTTACTTCAGAAGCCTACACAATTGGGATCCAATGTGTTTTTTCAGGAAACAGTTACTGAGCTTAAATACTGCTCAACAATACAACTATAGCCAGTGAATTACTGAAAAAATTATGTTACCAAAACATAAAGGAGGTAGTGCAGAGATTTCCTGAGTAATACTATTTGCTACTTTATATAAACAGTGGCAGAAACCAGGGGTAAAGGCACAGCTGTATTCAGTACTCTTTAACAGGAGCACTTATTAAACAAAATGGACAAATTTATTTTCTGTGTAGTATCTTGACAAATACGTTAGCTCACCTGTTTGATTTAACACATTGAACAGGGAATGCTTTGCCAAGAATACTGGTGTCTGCTTCGTACGTACATGATTCTATTGGGCTTTAATTATCTTCAGCAATTGAAAATCCAGTCTAAAGGAACTCTGATTTCTGCAGGTAACAGCAGACTGATAGACAGTATTGAATTTCACACTGTGCAGGAAGCAGATGTCAATCCCTCGCTATTTAAAACAGACATATCATTAAGCACGAGTTAATGGTTAAGCTCATAGTATAACTTAGAATTATTACCACTTTCTTATGTGGAACGGTAATTTTAACTGTCAAGTGAAAATGAAAGAAACTACGACAGTTTTAATTTTAGGGAAGCAAATTACAAAATGCCCTTCCAAGTTGTGTGGGTGTCACTGAAATGTCCATCTGTCAGGCACAGTGCAAGTCAGTCCCTTTAATAACACCATTTAAAAACAGCACGAGTTGGCAACTGAACTCCCACAAAATGCACTCAGGAAGAACAGTGATCAGCTAATCCTCTCACCTTACAATTTCAGAGAAGCCTGAATCGTACAGATGGACAACCACCACAACCTTCCTGTAAACTACCAGTGTAAGTGCTCAGTGTTTTCAGTCACACAGCTGATCCTTACAGAGCACCAACCACTGTGCTTACTTTTATCTCCTCTAGGTCTCTAAACAGCGCCATGGCATTCTGCTAATGCTTTAGATCTTTCCTAGAACTGTCAAATTATGCAGTTACAACTAATCTGAGCTAGTGTTCACAGTACCTGAACACATCTTAAGCTCATATAATAAGCCCCTGGTTATCATGCTGTATGGGAACTGCTGAGTCACAGCCTGAACCTCTGATTGATCACATGAGGCGAGCCATGAGTCAGCCAGAGGAGCACAGCTGAAAGCAATTCACCTGTGCTGCCAGAAGGGGTGGCTCCACCCCTCTTAGACCTATTTAAGAGCTGACTGCCAGTGGGGAAGGATCTTGTCTGGAGATCCCCTCTTCTGGTGTTTTTTGTATGTGAGCCTAGCATATGGGTAAGCCTTCCATTTTTTCTCTCCTATTATCTTAGTCTACTTTGCCTAACTCTCTTGTTCTTTTTGTGATTATAACATCTTAATATCCATTGATTATACACATGCCTATAATCTACAGCTTGCCAGCATAGATTTATAGACTACAAAAGACAACTATCCATTACAAGCTTTAGAACTTCCTTAGAGCTTACGGAAGAAAAACTTCCAGTGTACCTGCCCAACCATGCACTTGGACAACAAACGTTTATTCCAATACAGAAGATGGTTAAAACAGACAAAAATGTTGTTCTAGTGCATTATTTTCTATATCTTGCCAGTTTGTTTGCTGATGTCAAAGTAGAAACTGAGTCGCAATCACAGGACATTCTCACATTTCTGGAAGTGTAAGACTTGACCCTGCCAACAGAAAAGTCCTATGGTAAAATTTGTTACAAGTTTAAACAAGATCTTTTCATGCTTACCTACAGCAAGATACCTATTGTTACACAAATGTTGTAACAAGTAGTATCCAGCAACCCCCAATCTCCTCTAGGGTCTTGCTGATGTCTTTATAGCTTCTTGCTGGCCTAATCATCTTCCTGCACAAACTCATTACAGAAGTGAGTTGTAGCTAGCAATTAAAAAAAAAAGTACATTAATACTGAATTTATGCACAATAAACTAAAGCAAATTGCCTTTGCTCGTTGTAGATGTCCTTAGCTGTACAATTCTTCTGATGCAAAAAACAACAACCAAAAAAATTAATTAATTAATTAATTTTAGAGGCATAGGATATACCTTTAAAATAAGTTATCTTTATCTGCTCATATCATTTCTATATTCCAATGAATGCTGTTAATTAAGACTGCTGATTTATGCAATAATTGTTTCCTCAGAATAATAGAAAGTTGCTGCCTCATTTCTTAGGTGACACAAAACACATTTGTTTCTTATACCGAGTCTTCATTGCGACTTTACTCTGTTCTTAAAATCTGCCTGTTGTTTGATTTAGTACTATAAATCTTTTGTTGGAAGCTTTTGAGAGGACAGTTTTTACCATGACGGACATCAATGCCTTGGTACGGAATTAATTTCATACCGAGATACAACAGCAGTGTTACTTTAACAAACATTTATTGTATGCTTTGGAATTGTGCTGCGCAGTGCTATAATTTACAAGCTATATACAAAGCCAAACCAAAATGCCAAAACCACAGACAGAGGATTTTTAAGGTAGATACCCAGATTTGAACATGCTCTACATTTTCTGTATCATCACCTGGAATTTACCTGCAAAGAGAATGCAAAGTCAGATCAAAGCATGAACTTTAGATTTATTACTCCAAGCAGTTACTTTCTTTTTAAGACATTTTTTGTTAAGACATTTCTAAGGAATGTTTTGATCTTATGGTTTAATTGTGAGATATCTAGCCATGATTTAAATTTAGCATTTAAACCTAACTCCAACTGAACACATTCACTTTCCTTTTTAGTTGATCCATGCCCCACATTACAGCAGTTTTCTTGTTCAAAGCTTGTGAAAATATTTAGCTCCATCTTAATCAGCTTATGTAGTTACAATGGAGTTCACTTACTACCTTTTTTACTGACTTCTATAAATAAAGAGCACATAAATAGTTGGTTTTATCTTCAGTTATTGCAATGGAGTTCTGAATGTACGCCCTTTTGCATCCGATGCCTCCAAATGGAAATATAAGTTTTTAATGTAGCTTTACTTTAATGCCATGGAGGTTCACTGCCAGTATTTTTTAAAGCACAGTGAAGTTGGTGACTAAAGTTATCGAGCGAGCTAATAGAGGAGTACTCTTGAGAAGTACTTACATGCGGGCATTGATGAAACTTCAGCTGTTACAATACTCTTTATTCCCAAATTCGAGAGGCCCCCTCTGATTAGTCCACAGGTAAATGCTAAATACTAAACATAAGGTTACATTTTAAAGAAGTTTCAAGGGTGAAGCCTGTTGCAAAACATTGAAGAACTGAAGACTTATCACTTTGACAATATAAATCTGTGTAGGTTTTATTATTGTTTGTCAGTGCACTGTGACAGTGGCAGAAGTTTCTTCCTGAACTGCACACAAAATACATCAGCTCAATGATTTTCCACTTGCAGTCAGTACAGCTCCCACCATCAAATCCCACCGTGTTTCAAAATCACTGACTGTTTCTTGAAACACAGACCAAATAAACTGTACTCAAAGTGCATTTCTAAAAAACAGTTTTTGGATATTTAAATTTTAGCTTCCCTTTTGGTGGGTTTGTGTCCATTCAACTACAAAATTTCAAGTTATTATTAATAGATCAAGATGATTCCAATCAAATTCATAGATCCCAAGAAGGGTACCTTTGGTGCATGTTCTAAATACTGCTTTCCTGCGGACATTTGTGTCAAGAGTCGGAATTTGTTGTCTTGAAGAACATAAATACCCTGTTTAAATTAAAAAAAAAAAAAGTTTTTAATTGAGTTTCTAATGAGATGTGATCAGAATTCTACCAAACAACATCATCAACAAGCAAACTTTAGGAAGTTTTTCAGCTGTTTTGTATAGAACTGTGTTCAGTAGGGTGCAATTAAGTGTCTTAACTGCTGAAAACTGTAAATCTTTTTCCAAATTAAAAAATGACTTCAAGACAGCCATTCTATTTAAATGAGTTTTAAGGCAGCAATGTAATTTCTCACACTAGTTTTGTACTAAAATATATTGTGAAATTCATGAAAAAGTTCCTGTGTGAGTCTTAATAAACTGTAAGCATTACTGTCCTGTCAGTTTGTAATTCCACAACACTGTGTGAAATTGAAAACATTTAGTCTTTCAAACAGGGTGGCAAGAAATACATCATAAGCAATTACTAAATGGTATTCTCAAAATCTGCGCCAACACAGACTTTTAAAAACTGCTTTAAAAAAAAAAAAAAAAAGAACAGTCTGGGTTTCTTCCCAGGTAATATATCCTAGACCAAGACAAACAAAAAAATCCACCTAGAACACAAGATAGTGTTACTGATTTTGTAACTTAAATCGTATTCTAGAGCATCAGTACCTGATGATTAGTCCTTAGGTTGTCTATTTGCTTTTTGAATACAGTTGTCCAAAAATCTTTGCAAATGAACTTCATAATATCTAATTCATCCTTGAACCTGGCTGTATCTTTTGTAAACCTAAAAGACAAGTGAGAGAAATATGTCAGTCATGAATGTATGCGCAACAACTTGACTGATTAAGCAGAAAAATACAAAACAATTTTAAAAAAATGGTACTATACAACATTACTTTTGAGAACGCTACAGAGATTAATGTTCCAGCTATCATGCTAGCAACACTCAGCTTTCACCATGTATTGTAACTTGAGTAACATAGTTTTATCTTAATATTTGCAGCACTATGGTAAGAATAAATGAGTTTGAACTATATGATCATCAAAGACAGCTGAAGTACATAAAGATATCTTAACATAAAGCTCTCACATATGGTAGTGTTTGGAAGGGCTCCTTCAAATATTGAAAATATCAGCCGAAAAACAAAAGAGCAAACATTAATGCGTAGGAACAAACACACAGAACTTGTCTTCTGAAAAGTGCCTTCCTTCTTCACAGTTCTCCCCCTGTATTCTCCCTGATGGTCTTTGAGTCACTTTGATCAACTCTTGTCTCAGGTAACAGCGATTCAGGATGAGAGGTGACGGCCTTAAGTTATGCCAGGGGAAGTTCAGGCTGGATATTAGGAAAAACAACTAATCTACATAGTGGTAGTGCATCGGAACTGGCTGTCCAGGGAGGTGGCAGAATCAGCATCCCTGGAGGTGTTCAAGAACCGTGTGGATGTGGCACTGAGGGGCACGGTTAGAGGGCCGATGGTTGGACTGGATACTCTTAGCGGTACTTTCCAACTTTAACGATTCTATGAAAACGTGACGTTGGGTGCTCGGGATTCTCCACACAACCTGAGACTGCGCAGCGAGGCACCGGGAGACGGAAGATCCAAGGGCTGAGAGGCCCTTGGAAGGGGAAATCTCGCGGTACAATTACAAAATAATTACAAAACTACCCTTCACACCCACCTCTCGATCAGCCCCTGCCCGACTCGAAAGCCCATGCTCTCCAGCTTGGTGGTGCAGCGGCCGTTCTCCTGCAAGACACAAGGGCAGCCGCCGCCTCAGCCTCGGGCCCGGCCGCCGCCGGACGGCCTCGGGGGCGGCACCGGCCGCACTCACCCCTTCGCCCTGCTCGGCGGCTCGGTACAGCCCCGCCACCATCTCGTTGTGCAGCAGCAGGAACAGCGCCTCGTCCGCCATGTCCGCTTCGCTGCGGGCGTCCCCGTCCCCCCGCCGTCACGGCAACGGCCACGGCCCGCCGCCGGGAGCCGGGAGCCGCTGCACCGCCCCTTCCGGGAGCAGGAGGGCTGCGGGCGGCAGTGCCGGGGCTGGGCAAGGCGGAGCGGAGAGCCAGCAGGGGGCGAAGCCAGCTCGTCCCGGGGCGTGTATGAGAGACGGAGACCGCTTTTGTGCTTTTCTTTTTTTTTTTTCTTTTTTTTTTTTTTTCCAAACGTCACTTTCTATACATCCTCCATTTCCTGCCTCTGTAAGATGGCAACCGGCGGGGCGCGGGATGCAGCCGGAGGCGCCCCAGCAAAAACGGCACCCGTGCTCCGTTAGGGCAGCGTCCCGGCGGGCAGCGGGGAGAGAACTATAGCCCAGAGCCCGCGACGCCCATCCCACACCGCTCCGCGTGAGAACCCGTTACAGTAGCTCACGTTGCGCCGCGCGGGAGAGTACTACGCGGCAGCCCGCAGTAACGCTCCGCCTAATTGGCTCGTTCGGCACAGAGGCTGTGGGAGCGTGAAGGTGATTGGCTCCCACCACAGGAAAGTGACGAAGTAACTTTTCGTTAGCTAACAGAGACGTCGCTCTGGCCCTCCCGCTTTATGATTCGCAGAGCTGGCAAGCGGCCGCTCTCGGTAATTGGTTAAGAAGGATGTCAGTCCGCCCCTGAGCTTCGTGATTGGCGGGTGAGTGCGGAGAACCTTTCCAGGAGGGCGTACCCTCAAGCCCGCCTATTGGCAGTCGGCGGCGTCCGCCGAGGGGCTATTGGCTGCGCCGTCCCGTCCCTTGCGGAGCCGAGTGGCGGCTGTCGGGCGGAGCCTCTCCCGCCGTTACCCAGCGGTGCCTTGCGCTGGGCCCCGGCTAGGCCGCGCGGCGGGCGGTATGGCGGTGGCGGTGCGTGCGCTGCAAGAGCAGCTGGAGAAGGCCAAGGAGAGCCTCAAGCACGTGGATGAGAATATCCGCAAGCTCACGGGCCGGGACCCCAACGATGTGAGGTGAGGGGCGGCTTAGCGGGGTCGTCTCGAGGAGGCCTCCCCCGCATCTCTGGCGCGGCCCCGGGCCGGTCGGCGGCGTCCCCGCGGGGGTGGGGGGGGGCAGTGATGGCTGCGGGCCCCGCGCCTGAGGCAGCGCCGCGGGAACGCTGCGAGGGGCCCGGGCGGTGCCGCTGAGCGTTGTGCTGTCTTCCGCAGGCCCCCTCAGAACAGACTGCTGGCCCTCTCAGGCCCTGGTGGAGGTAGGGGGCGAGGGAGCTTACTGCTGAGGTAAGGATCCGCGGCTCTGCTTTTCTCTCGTGGCGCTGGGTTGCTGTCTTTGCGTGTTCTGCGTTCTTGATTTGATCCCTGTGCTCGCTGTAAGGGATCGGAAGCTGCTGCTGCTGTAACAACGCGGTCGAGTGGGAGGCCTGCAAGGGCAGCCGGGGTTCGATAGCCTGCGGTGCCTGGTTTGATACCGGTGGCTTTCCTTAGCGCTTCCAGCCGTTACCCTTAAAGTGAAGGAGGACCTTCAGAATGAAGGGAGGTGCTCTCTGCTGAGGTGGGCCTCCTTGCTTTGAAGTGGTGCAAAATCACTGTCTTGGAGGTTAAGAAACTGGTAGTACTTCTAGGGAGAATAGAAAGAATGGAACTGTCCAAGATTCCCAAAACTCACGTAGGTGACTTCTTTGGGGAATTTACCGTCTCTACCCTCTTTTATTTCTTATCTCTGTGGTAGAGCCAGAATCAAGAACAGACTTGTACTCAGTAATTTCATCTTATCGAATACATAGTACATTTCTTTTCTTTTGTTAAATTTCAACACCAAATTGTTGCTGAGGCCTTAACACTTTAAAAGCTTCTGCAAAAAACTTTTTGAACCTACTGAGGTAGCTCATTTGAGGGTAGCAGCTCATCTGCATAAGTTTAAATGGGTTGATTCACAAACAGTGCATTTAGATACTTTATTCCTGTAGCAACAGTCAAATGATTACAGAATTGAGTAAAATGTATGCCTTGCTCTGAGATCACAAGTGGTTTCCTTTTAGGCGTGGATTCTCGGATAGCGGAGGAGGACCCCCAGCCAAACAGAGGGATCTTGAAGGGGCATCCAGTAGGTGGGTGGAAAAATGCATGTAGAGACCTTGCTTTTTCAGAATGAGAATTTGTAACAGTATATTCTAATAAATACTTAGATGCAGTAATTTAGTAAATGATGACCTTCTCTGTCTTCTTCAGAGATTTATTCATGACTTGTGAGAAATGTTTTTGGAGTTGATTGTGTTGGAATCTCTTTTCTAAATCCCATAGTAGTTTAAAGATTATTAGAGTAATACGAAGACTACAGCAATAGTATAAAGATAAAATCAGTACTAAGACTCTTGCACAGTGGAGACGCTTAAATGTATAATTCTTTCTCTGCTGGATTCAAGGGCTTATGTGGCCTCTGGAATCACTGTGGAGAGAACTGTATAGGGAATTAAATAACTTTGTGTATTTACGATGGATAGAAAACTCAAAGGTGTTGAAATCTCACACTCACTATAATGAAGAGCACTTCTCATTTTTGTACTTGCTCCAGTGCGGTGGAGGGGTATTTCTTGTTCCTTGTCCATTCTGCAGGCAACTCCTCCTTTAACTTTCTGGGCATTTTTGTTGCAGGCTGTAGTGAGTTGATCAGTTTTCTGAATATAGTTACAGTGTTAGATGCCAAATTGTAAAATCTTGATTTGAAAACGTACATTAAGTAAAGCAGGAAATTCATTGCAGTTTGCTGTGTTAAATTTTGCATATTAGCCCGGACTTGTTTAACAATAGACACAAATTGTGACTAGGATTTCCCTTTCATTAAGTTTAATGCCTACTGTGTGACAGTATATACAGAGATTTCAGGCTTTCACAACTGGATACAGATCCATCAGATGTGGCTTTGGTTATAGGGAGCTGCATTTTCTGAGTGATTATATGCAGTGCTAAATCTTGACAAAAGCAACACTTGCTTTTGAATTTTTGAGTTCTACAAAATGAATACTGGAAAATGGCTTTACTGATAGTAAACTGCTATACCACAAAGCTGAGATCAAAAGCTGAAAATAACTTTCATTTAATAAATTGCCTAGCTTTCTTTGTTGAAAAACCTGAGGTTATCCAAGGGCTCAGGTCCCAGCTAAGTGCTTTGTCTGTCCTTAACTGTTTTCTAGGTATTGGCCTAGATAACCTCAGTAGCATTTTGAATTTGAGAAAACTGTACTGCCCTCTGTGTCTTGATGCATTTAAATCTCATATTTCTCTTACTTAAATAAACATTTTAGGCGTTCTGGAAAAAGAAAAGCCCAAACAGGAAACAAAATCCATAACTGCTCTAGAAAGTCAAATAGGGCAGTGACATGGGTTCTTCATTTCTACTTTACTACTGAAATGTCATTGAAATTTAAATCACTTTTTCTCACGTGGTAGTTTAAAAATCTTTTTGAACAGTATTTTTTTAGGCAGTGCTGTCAAAGCACTATTTATCTCTTCTCACTGTTCTGATCAACAGTTTTAGTGGAATTATTGGTTCTGCTGACTATATATGCTGACGTATACAGATGCAGTTGTTAACAAATGTTCTCCAGTGGCCAGTAATGCTTTTTACTCCTCAGGCTGGGTGGAGAGCGTCGGACGAGAAGAGAATCACGCCAAGAAAGTGATGGAGAGGATGATGATATTAAAAAGGTAATGCGCGACAAAGGGAGCTGTATAGGAAGAAGGAAAGCATTTAGGTGAACTAAGAAGTTTGTATTTTTCTATTGTAGCCAGCGTTACCATCTTCTGTTGTTGCTACCTCCAAAGAGCGAACACGTCGAGACCTTATACAAGATCAAAATATGGATGAGAAAGGAAAACAAAGGTAGGCAGCAGTCTCTTCATGCATTTATGTGATGCTTCAGAGTCCTAGCTTAGAAAGTAACTTCAGGTTTTAAAAGGCGTTATACAGATGCTGTCATGCATCAAAGATGGTTTTGCAGATGCACCAGAATAGGGTAGATTGTAGGTTTGGTTTAGGTAAATATTCTCTCAAAATATTTACAGCGGTAACAATGAATCATTCATGTAACACAGCTGAAAGAGATTCTGCTTCTCAAGCCACTACAACAATAAGATTGTTATTGTAACAGGTCATCTTTAAGTAGGACAACTTAATTGGTTACTTAACACTTTGGACTGTTAAAACAGGAAATAAACCCAGAATGTGAATACAGGGACATCCATTCTGCCCTGCTTTGTGATATAGAAGATTGTGCCAATGTATCTTGGAAGTAACCTGTTGTGTACCTTTATAGCTAGTAAGTATACATCTTGAAAGAGCAGTTGCCAAAGACAGTACAGGTGATTCTTATTACTCCCACTTATTGGCTGAAAAAAGGTTTTAAGTGTGCAGTTTTCTTTTTTTGCAGAGTAGCTCCTTCATGTTTGTTTTTTTTTTTAATTCTTACTATACTTTTAGGCTAGTTGTGCATATAATTTGACATTCCTTTTGCCTCTTTAAATTCTTAGTGTTTATATCTCCTTTTTCTTCTTGTGCATGTGTGTGTGTTTAAAGTTCTTGTTAAGATGCACTTATTTTGAGAAGAGCTGTTGGAAAAGCAGCTTTGCAGCAGTATCCAACTTCTTGGACTCTCCAGTCAGCAGCCTATCTGGTGTCATAATCACTTATGCCTCAAGTAGAATCAGAGCTGAAATAGTGAACTATTTTGCACTTCTTTGATAAGGAACAGAGATCAATTAGAACAAAAAGACACTTTGCTTGGTCGTCTTTTGTTTCTTCTAATGCTGCTGTTGCTTCCATCATTAGTTCCTGACTTTTTCCCTACAGAAGTGGTGGACTTTTATAGGGCTTCTGGCACAAAAAGTTTGTCTGTTTGCAATTGTAGTTTTAGCATTTTGCATTTGAGTTGTGTTCTGGGGAGATGAGAAACAGTGTTTATCTTCATGTGACTCATTGGAAAGAGGCCTTCAGGGAGACAGCATCCATTCAGCTCTGGCTTTGCTCAGGGTTTTCTGGGTTGCCATTTGTATA